TTTAGGAGGTTTTCTATAGAAAAAATATCTTTAAGAAGCCCTCAATATACAGGAAGGCTTTCTATAGATTTTTTGATGGCTTCTATCTACAGTTGGCCTTCTATCGGTTTTATGGGCCTTCCATGGTTTTATATGAACAAAAGTCCGTCTAGATGTCTTCTACAGAAAACTTTTCGTTTTTTTTACCAAAAGATTATCTTTTAATGGTATTTTAAAGAGATTGGTCTTCTATTAAGAGCATATTTCCTGTGGTATTCTATAAACAAAACCCCTGTATATAGAATGTCCCCAGACCTTCTGGAGGTCTTCTATAGACAGGATATCTCTGGTAGTATTCTATACCTTCTATACAGAGGTTTTCTGTGAAAATAATCCCTTTTGGAAACCTTATATACATAAATGATCTCCTAGAGTGTTCCATAAAAAGAATATCCTATAGACAAAAGATCACATGGTAGACTTTCTCGGGGTCTACTACAGACAAAATAACATCTAGAAGTATTTTATATATGGTTTTACTTAAATGAATAAATATGGAAGTTGTTTCTAAGGATCGTTTCTTTCAATTCATTAAATATTTATATTTCATATTTTACAAATATTAATGGCTGCTAATTTTTAAATAATCAGATATTTTTCTTTAATTTCAGGTATTTATTTCCTGTCCATTATTTGTGTTCCAATATCTCTCAAATAACAAGTGAGTAATTTAAATATCACGGCCGTTTATTGTATTTATCTGCTAAATTGCTTTCTGTATCCATGTTTTTGTTTGTATTTTTCCAAAATTTTTCTATAAAAAGTCAAACATACAATTTTTTTCATTTTTACAAAAACACTGAAAAAATTGCCAGCCAACCCCAGTCTTTCCATTTACCGAAAACCAACATAAAAATCCGGTTCTGTTCTTAACCAAAAAAAAATAGTTGCTATAAATTGATATATGGGAAACTGGCAATTGGACACAATTGGACAAATAACAAACAATTTCAATTCAGGGTCTCATAGAACGACCGCTTGGCAAGTCAATTCATTTTTTTGTTGCAGACAACTAGGCAAATATTATAAAAATTGTACAAAAACAAACTAAAAACAACGCAGCCATTCACATTCACTATGAAATAGACTTACGTTGTTGCTGTTGTTATCGCCAACAACAAAAACACTTTTCGCTTACAAAAACAAAAGCGACCACCGAAAACAAAAAAACTGCGCTCTCCAATATTAAACATCACCACAAAAGTGTCGCATAAAAGCCGCAATCAACTGATGCAGTTCATAAAAACAAACTAGATTGAGGAGGAGGAGGAGAAGAAGAAGAGGCAGAGGCAGGAAGCGCCTAACAGAAAATTGTAAAATATTTAAAAAGGAAACAAAAATAGTTCACAAAGAAGAATAACAGCAACAGCAACAAAAACCGAAAACCTGCAGTGACACCATAAATTTTTGTTCTCTGTGTGTGCTGGCCCAACATCATCCCTGCCAGCGCCATCACCACCACTGGCAAACATTTGCATAGTTATGAATTCACTTTCATTAATAACACACACACACACTCACTCACTCTCATACACATGAATATTGCATACTCGCACACACACATACATCAATGTTCAAATGTTGGTAGATCTTTACACATTATGCGCCCCGTACTGAAGAGGAAGGAATAATAATTCAGATATGTGAATGGATGGAACTGAACTGAATTCCATATTGAATAAACAATGCCAGGCTTTCTGTAGGAAGTGAGAATGATTTTGGTAGAAGTCGTATGGACTAGGTTGTTGGTTGCTTGGTAATACAATGCATATATTTGCATGTATGTGAGTGTGTGTGTGTGTGCGATAGAGTGAGAGTGCCTTTTAAAAATAACACCATGATGTATTTATGCAGTGTTGCTGCTATCAGAAGTTATTTTTATGCATTACAGTATTTTTTATTGTTCTTCTTCCTTTTTGAATATATTTTAAATAATAAAATATCTGTGAAATTGTAATGATAAATTTTTTGTTAAAGGAAATATTAAGTGTTAAATGTAAAAAATGTAGGATGTTGTAAAATGTTGCAATAATAAAAGTTATTCTATGAAGAAAATTGTATATAATTTGAGAACTTAAGTAGGGTATCCATTTTTGGTTTCAATACAATACAATTTTACTACTATGTATGTGTACATACTATGTATTTGTACATTTGTTGTTGTTGACATGTTTTTGTACCAGCTTAGAGTACTGTGAATTTTTACTGCTAATCTGGTTTTGCCTCTAACTCCCGATTCAAAAAGATTGAGACTTGTACCGGTTATAACCAAAGTGCTTGCTCCACTACATCAATGTGAGTCCTACTTGATAGGTCTGTTGATCTAGAACACTCATGCACAAAATAGTACTATAGTGGTGATAGCTAAACACGCATTCTCTTTTTTGCCTTTCCGTCAGTCATTTTTGATGATTATCTCTCAATTACACTCTCACACAATTACTCTCAATTTAGTTCTGTTCAACACTGATCTAGTGTAACGATCGGCAGAGTAGAGTACATGTCTCGTTTGAGCTGTTGAGCTTTTGGTATTAGCCATGTAACTCGCAAACTTTGTTTCACTGGTTATAGGCTCTTTTTGTATCCTCCAGATCATGTGGATTCCTGAAATACCTAACTGCTAGGTGCCTTTCCATAAGATGATGGTTCGGATGGTTACTTTTGTAACACCCAAAACAGATATTATTGTATGACACGTTCTTGTTCTGTTGACGCTTCCTCGCTTCATGTAAGAGTTCTATTGGAGTCTTGAGGAGACACTCTGTTGTAATCCCCAGTGCGACATACAGGCAGGATTGAATTTTTTCCATTGCGTTGCATTAACATTGGAGGACACCATCTTGTTCTGTTGGCGCTTTCTCTCCTCATGTAAGAGTTCTATTGGAGTAATGAGGAGACACCCTGTTGTAATCCTCAGTGCGACATTCAGGCAGGATTGAAACTTTTCCATTGCGTTGCATTAGCATTGGCGGACCACACTGGAGTTGCATAGTTTACCACAGACCGGTCTGTCGCTGTTTATATTGTGAACAAGGTTTCTTTATCAGCTCCCCAAAGTTCTACCGGCTAGCGATCTTAAAACCGTGTTTATGCTCTTGACCCTATCGAAAAAGCTGTGACATGCGCTGAATGTGACCCCTAGAACCATGGTGTAACTAGTGTTCATAATTGTGGACCCATCGAGGTGCACAGTCAGAGGTCGCATATCCGCTGTTCATGTGGTTAATAGTCGATTTAGTGGTTGATATTTCCAAGTTCCTCGTCTAGAAAAACTCTGCTATATAGTTCAGTCTCTCGCACATGCAATTAATTTCTGACCCAGACGCCATGATCGTACAATCATCCGCGTACAAATTAAATTTAGGCCGTCCGATGGAGGTGGAGTTTCAGAGAGGTTAAACTCCTTGGGGAAATCATTATATAACTTTAAGGGCCTTCCACTTCCACGCATAAAATTTGCGATCCAATTTTATAAATCTGGCTGGAGTTGTTCGACGTCCTCGAATAGGTTCTCATGATTGGCGCTATCATGTGCCTTCGATGAATCAAGCGCCTATATAAGAGTCCTTTTAAACGGTCTATTATGTTTGAGCTTTTCCGTCAAATATGGTCGTGCCAAGCAGTTGTGCTATAATAGGTTTGGCTTGTAAGATTCTCCTTTGCTGACATCATTGCTTGGCTTCAGTATGGGACCACCCTGGCCATTTTTCAGACGTTAGGATAGGATAGCTAACGACAAACAAACTACTTCGATTAGGTAATCTACTCCTGGCTCATCTTCCCGCTTCAACAGCATCATAGAAATTTTATCTGTACCAAGCGCCTTGGATCTTTTTGCTCTTTACAATATCCGCCAACGTAAATTGTGGTGGTCCTGGAATCTAAAGAAATCCTATACGGCGTTATACTCTTCTCTTCGCCCTGTTGAGGTGCTCTGGAAATTTCCAGCTAAAATAACACGTGCACCACAAAAATAATCATGGGGCTTTATGCATTCTATAGGCGGAATACCGTTTTGGGGACTTCCTTTAAAAAATACGCCGCTCTTAAAGCTTTGATAGTATGACCCTTTGATGATTATCTATAGACAAATTTCATAAGGATTTCTAAAAATAGAAGTCCTTATGATGATCTGTAGGCAAACTACATATTATCATAAGGACTTCTACTTATACTCAATTAGCAGAAGACTTTCTCGGGGTTTCTAAAGATAGGCGAACTTCATCTGATTTTATGTAGAAAAAAAATATTCATATCTTCTGTACACAGACATTTTTTAGGTATTTTAAAGACGAACGACCATCTGCAGCTCTTCTATAGAGAGACGACCTTCTTTATGGCGTCCGCAGGCAGAAGACCTGTTTCAGGTTATTGTAACGTAATTCTAAAGAAATAACAAGTTTCCAAATGTCTGATATAGCGAAAGTATTTTTTTGAAGTTTTCCATATAGAGGCGACATTCCTAAAATTTTTTATTCAGGCTTTTCCAAGAAAATGTGTTATTTTTGGTAGTAAAAAAATTCTAATTTTTTGGATATTAATTATCGGATGTTTAAAAAGAGACGATATACCGTTAGTAATGAAAGAACATTTCACACAAAGGGGAATCACATCCTCTACATGACATTTTGCATAACCAGATTGCAATTGCCCAGTAAACAATTTTTGCCGAATTCGGTCCGATTTCTGTCAGAATCTCTGAAAAAATGTCCGATTCTGATTCCGAATTCCTTCCGATTTCGGTACGAAAGTTGTATGGACGTGGTCACCGAATTCGGAAAGATTTTCTGAAAAAAATCTGAAAAAATATTAGATTTTCTGAACGAATTCGGTCCGAATTCGGTGAAAAAATAGGAGAAAAAATTAGATTTTCGGAAAAGATTCGGAGGACAACTCCGAATTTCTGAAAGAAATCGGGCAGAATTCGAAAGAAAATTCGGAATAAAAATCAGATTTTCTGAAAAAAAACGCTCAGAATTCGGGAGAAAGTTCCGATTTTCTGAAAGAAATCGTTCAGAATTCGGAAGAAATATCGAAAAAATCGTCACACCAATTAAAAATGAAAAAAAAACACATATTTATTTAAAAAACAAACAATTTATTATTATTTATATTATTTATATTTATTAGTTGAACAGATAACAGATAATTCAATTATTTGTTGTTATTATATACATATATAATTTTTGTAATTCAATGTATCTTTTTAAAATAAAAATAAAATTAATTCAGTCTTTCAATAATTTGTGTCGTGTACAGTGACCAAAAAAAAAAATCCGTACACCCCTAGTATTTTTTTGGAGTTTATTTTCAAATATTAGAAGTGTACAATTAATTTTTTGAGTCCCTGTATAATAAAAACAATATAATACACAGGACTATTTAAATTTTTTACGATTCAGATTTTTCCGATTCAGATTTGTCCGATTGAGATTTTTTCGATTCTGCTTTTCTTTTTCGTTTGTTTTGGCGGTCTTTAGCCGAATTAAAGAAATTCTTAATATGAAATTCTATCGTACTTGCAGCAGTGCCCGGGATATGATCTATTGCTGTATCTATATAACAATTAAAGTACATACATATGTACATGTAATCTAACTTATCCATAATCTTAAATAGCGAATACAAACCTCTTATAAGCTTGATGTAATGCATATCTTTTACAGGTATATTTCTGTTGGCACTATTCCATGAAAATCGTGTGATAATTTCGTCCGTCTGGAAAACTAGTTTTAGATTTTCTTGAACAAATTTCCTTATATCGTCATGGGGTTGTGCTTTTATACGTTGAATCTGTAGATAAATATTGATTTGAGTACATACCTATTAAAGAAATGTGGGTTAGAAACTTACCAGTTTGTTTTTCAGTTCGCAATTATCCTTCAGTCTTCTTTCGAAGTCTAATACTTCTTCAGGGGAGCATAGTTGTTCAACGGAAAATACTGATCCTTTCATTTGTACTGCTTTCATGGCGTTTTCTACAGTCATTTTTTTTTATAATTTTTTCTTACCTGTAATAAACAATTTTGTTTGTTTTTTAATTTTAAACACCTTCTGGAAATTTTTAATTCACTTTTTGAACACTTCTTGTAAACACTTTAATTCAAATATACCGAAGCACGTTTCTCTTTCAACTGCTAAACAAGAACTAAAAATAAAAAGCAGTGCACACAGAAAACCGGTATGTAGTTGTTTTTGCAATTTTTTTCCATCATATTTTTTTGGGAACGAAAGAGAAAGAGGCTGATTCACAACAACAACAAAACGCACATTTTTACAACGGAAAATCTAACAGTTCACAATAACAATAACAAATAGCATTTTTGCTTTGCGCTTTGTTGTTGTTGAGATCTTGAAATGAATGATCACAACAACAACTACTATGGGAGAGAATGTGTCAAACCACCACCATCCGTTTACATGTGGGAGAGAATATGCCAGAGCAATACACAATCTACTCTCTCCGTTTGTACATTTTTCGAGTTTTTTTCGCTTAAAAACACAGGAAAATGTGCAGAAATTCTAAAAAAAAACGTTTAGAAAATCGGACCAATTTCTATCAGAAATTTCTGAAAAAAACGTCAGAAATTTCGGAAAAAAATCTAAAATCAGAGCAGTCGGAAAAAATTGTTTACTGGGTGGCTGCCATATGAAACATTTTTGGTTTAAAAATATGTTTGAGGTCTTGCATAGTGTTTTGATCATAGGGTTTTAATCACTTCTTTAAAACCTAAGACTGTCCGGAAAATGTATGTGTAAACGAGCAATGCTCTCGATGCTTGTGTGGCATGTAACTTTCCCTTGTTGAAAGTAAACATTGCCCAGATCAATGCCAAGAAAGTCCAATCATACAAAAATCATATACGTTAATATCTAAAGTCCTTAAAACCAAAATCATACAACATTTTCTCTAGTATTTTAATACGACACATTTTTTCAAACTCTTCTCACATATACCCTTTTAACAACAAAGTATATGGCTTGTCTTTTTGTCAAGTGTCATTTTTAATATTTTTGGCAAAGAACGAAAAAATATATTTTTGAAAAACAGTCGTTTGGCCTCGTGTTGGAATGAATCAAAACAAACGCTTAAACGAGTGAAGAGATTTCGTATTAAAGTCACTTTGTTGTCGTTGTAACACTTTACATTCGCTCGCTAAGCTGTTATTTGACTTTTATAGATACATATATGTATCCTCTACAAAGAGAATGGTATTAAGAGGATGTGTGAAAGAAAAGTCGGCAAATGACGATAATGGTTTTATTAGCAGAATTTCAATTCAACATCATTCGGCACATATGACGCCACATTTCAAATTTTTATTTCGGTTTTTTTTTTCTTGACTAAGAAAGGATTTTTTTTTAGCCATTGCAGCAACCTTGTTGCGTAATAGCGCAGATATTAACAAAACTGACACACACACCGAAAAAATAGAAGTCTGTCAGTGGTTGTTGAAAGTAGAGCGAACAAAAAAACGCTCACACAAATACACATATTTGGAAGGACTCCAAAGTGTTATGTACTAAAATATGGGTTTTTTTGGGTAACCACGTTTTTTGTTTCAGTACTTTGTTTTTTTTTTGAGGGGCATTTAGTCGAAGTCGGTTTATCAGCGAAAATAGATTTATATAAAACAGTTGAATTGAAGCTGAGAAAGTCGGTAGTTCTTGAAAGGCGTGTTGAAATATTACATATTAGCAGACCAAAACGGCGCCAACAATAGGATACCCTACACCATATTGGAAGAGGAGATCTTATGAATCTTACTAAAATATGCAATACATTTTTTGAGGGCCCCCAATATTGGTAGATTTTTTCAAGGACCAAAAATAGTCGTTGATTGTTTAAAGAATTTATTTTCCAGTACCTCCAGAAGGTGTGAATTTTTTAAAGAATTGTCAAGGATCACCATTAGGTGTGGATTTTTTAAGAATGTTTATTTTTAAAGGACTATATATTCACGTGAATTTTTTATAATATTTTTTCAATGACCATCAAAAGTGAGTTTTTTAAAGAATACTTTTAACAATGGCCATTAGGCGTGAATTGATATATTTCAAGGAAAAAAAAATATTTTTAATAACTGTAAGAACGATCGATTTGTCAGAAAAATAAATCCATTATTTTTATATGAATTATAGGACTTTATTTAACATGCTTCGGAATATCCGATTTGGACCAAATATGCATCGTTTTGTTGTACGATGTGTTGCCATTTTAAAGGTAACTTTATAATGCCTCTCTTATAGAAGTCCTGTTCTCTATTTGCAAAAAAAAAAAATAGTAGTCGATTTTCACAATCCTCCCTAGATACCTATGTTTTATCATTAAAGAAATTTTGCAATGCAATCGCTTGGTGCCAAGTCCGGACTGTATGGCGGATGCATTAACTTCCCAACCAAGCTCCCAAAGTTTCTGGCGAGTCACTACAGATGTGTGTAGCCTAGCCTGTTGGTCAATTCTGGCCGTTTCTGGTTAATTGCTGTCTTCAAACGGTCCAGTAATTGACAGTAGAGATCAGAATTTAGCGTTTGGCCATATGGAAGCAACTCATAGCAGAACCTTCCTGGCCGTTATTTCTGGTTTGGCCACCGTTTGAGGTACTTCACCGCACTTTGACCACGATCGTTTCCGCACATGTTTATTGTATGTGATCCATTTTTCATCTCCAGTCACCATCTGTTTAAGAAATGAATCTATCTCATTCCGTTTGGCCAAGGCTTGGCAGATGGAAATTCGATCCATCCTATTTTTTCTGTCAATATGTTTGGCACCCAAACATCTGCTTCCTTTTGAATACAGCTTTGTGTAAATGGTTTAAAACAGTTTTATAGTTGTAACAGTCCATGGGCCATAAAGGGGTACCGACCAATTCTTTGAACGGATATTAAAAATTTGACCCGTCCGAAGTCGTATTTTTCTCAAACTCAGACTTCGTCTGGGAGATACCAAGCCCTCGTTAATTTAATTAATCCGGTATCACTACACTTGACCTGTCGCTTCCTTCAATACAAAAAAGATTACTATTATTTATTTAGTAGGGTATAACTTTGTTAGGCCCACAAAACTCTTCACCACAAAGGGAACAAATGATATATTTGTTCATCTCCGCGTTATGTTTTATACAGATTCACAATTGTTTAAGTGGTGGTGGTGGACTCTATGGTGCATAACAATAAATATGCGAAACAATGAATGACATGTTGAAAATAAAAACAAATTTTACAACTTTCCAGTATTTTCGTATTTTTTTTTATTATAAAACATACTACAAAAACAAAAAAAGTAGGGAGACAATAGCGTTTGAATGCGATAAAAACACTGCGACAGAAGGGCGTAAAGTTATAACAACGACAGCCGCCTTTGCCATTGCCGACAATATTAAAATTTTTCAGCAGCGGTAACAACAACAACGCATCAAAGGCTACCCCAAAACAAAACAACAACAACAGCAAAAAATTGGAAGTGAAGGTCATTTTTTGAAAATGTATAAAATTCTCTCCATCTGCTTCTCCTCCACACCCCTTTTAGTTTCCTTCAGCTGGGTGGTAATTTTTGTGACAACGACACTACGAAAGTTGTTGGCCATTGTTTTTTTTTTTTTGTTTTGTTGTTTACCATTACCACTTTTGTATTGATGATGTTGGGCCAACTATAAAATGGTTATAAATCAAATTTTGCTTTAATAGGGACATGGTTAGGACACATAACAAGAGTAGGGTTGTCATCGAAACACCATTAAATTGTGTGGGTATGTATTATAAATTTAAAGGAGGACATGTGAGTTTTTAAATCTAGGCTAAAATAATTCTGAAATGAATCAATACATTGTACTAAGGAACTGTTATTAGGCTACAGGTCAATAAGAATTACTTTCAGACAAAGGGAATATTCATACGGTGGAAAATGTCCCATTAAGAGCCACCATCTTGCGGATGGTATTGTTAAAAACAGCTAATCATATTAAAATTTTGCTGAAAATGTAAATATCATGTGAGCGAACTACCTTACGCAGAACAAACGTGATTATGGGACTCATTGACCCACTCCTTCAGGTACCTTCCCCACAAAGTGTCAACATTTTGATTTTTTTTTAATCTTATATCAAGATAATGGATTATAGAAGTTCGTTAGAAGGTCTATAAAAATATCTTTAGAAAGTATATTGGACATATTCTATGTATAGGTCCCTGGTAAAGTGTGTCAAAAAAGTGTTTTCTGTCGGTGGAAATCCTTAAGCTGGTCAGCTACCAATAAACGACTAATTGGTAGAATTGGTAGCATCTAAAACGAATTTATTAATAAGAGCCTTCAGTCTATATGCGACATCTAAATGACCATTCTGTCTATTGAAGTTTTTGACTTATGGACTCTGTAGAAAGGGATATTTTTATAGAATACCATCATAAGGCCGTATAACTTATCATTATACCATTGTGGCACCGGGTCTGATAAATGATGTAACCTTGCAACCCATAATTTCATTCGGCTCAGACCACCTTTTTATCATCGTCTCCGTCAACAGAGGACATAAACAGAACAGGCCGTTCAAACGAACATTTATGGTGGCACTTGACCTATCGAAGGTCAACAAAGCCAAACTGTTAGAAGATATAGAGAAGACAAATCACTGACCGTGTTTGAAACGTCGGTTAATCATCTACATGTGTGGACGCCAGTCATGGAATTCAGAAACAGGAAATTTAAAATCGGTAGAGTGAAACAGAGATTGTTATGGATGCGGATGATTGTACGATCATGGAGTCGGCTTCCATTATTGATGACATATGCGAGAGATTAAACTTCTCTGATCTTGTAAATTTCTTCCACCTGAGGAATATGAAAATATTCGCCACAAGTCAACAGCCACCACTAACTACCCCGAGATACTGGGAGTGACATGTGTGAGAGGTTAAACTTCTACATAGCTGATCTTGTAAATTTCTTTCATCTGATGAATATGAAAATATCCGCCACAAGTC